AATACTCAAATTACCGGGTATGTAGTTTTTCTCTTTAAACCGGAAGTTGTCGATTTTGTTTCCGGTGATACTATCATATTTCAAAACTACAAATAAGATGCTATAATGTGATGCAACAAGTTTCTATAAAGAAAAATGAATTTTTCGATTTCTTTGATCACTTCCTGTGACAACCGGAAGTGACGGCGGACAATGTTATCCTGGTTTTGCCTACTCATCAAGATCTACCACTTGAAACAGTTTGGTGTCTTAATCTCTTATTGTTTACGAGATCCAGCTATGATAACTTCTCAATTTGAGGACAGAAAATCACGCGACCGGAAGTGAATCTAACAAAGATATTTGACCTTCCTGTAGACATTTGCAGTGTGAATTACATATCCAAAAATCGTTACAAATATGCCATGTATAAGAAATATTTAGGGTAAAGAAAAACACTAAAATTATGCAGTTTTTCTCTTAAAACCGGAAGTTGACGTTTTTGTTTCCGGTTGGACTGATATATTTTAAAAATACAAATAAGATATTATAACGTTATGCCAAAAAAGTTTCATAAAAGAAAATTTGAAAATTTTGATTTTTTGGAACACTTCCTGTGACGACCGGAAGTGACGGCGGACAATCTTATCCAAACTGAAGTTGCCTACTCATCAAGATCTACCAATTGTATAAGTTTGGTGTCTTAATCTTTTTCCGTTTAGGAGATCTAGCTATGATAAGTTCTCATTTTGAGGACAGGAAATCACTCGACCGGAAGTGAATTTTACAAAGATATTTGACGTTACTGTAGACATTTGCAGTCTGAATAACATATCCAAAAATCTTTACAAATACTTTATCTATAAAAAATATTTATGGGAAAGAAAAATACTCAAATTTTGTAGTTTTTCTCTTATAACCGGAAGTCGTCGTTTTTGTTTCCGGTGGGACTAACATATTTCGAAACTACAAATGAAATACTATTTTGTGCTGCAAAAAAAGTTTCAAAAAAGAAAAGTTGAAATTTTCGATTTCTTTGATCACTTCCTGTGACGACCGGAAGTGACGGAGAACTGTGTTAACCCAAATGGTTTTGCCTACTTATCAAGATCTATTACTCATATAAGTTTGGTGTCTTCATCTCTTACCGTTTCTGAGATATGACTGGGACAAAAAGTTTTTGAAAAAAGCGGAAATCGGACATATCTGACGACCGGAAGTGAATTTTGAAAAACTGAAAACTGCATTTGGAAGATATTTTAATTTTCTATCATCCCTGAAAATTTCATGAGAATCCATTCAGTCATCTCTGAGAAATCGTCAAAAAAAGAAAAGGGAAAAAAAATAATAATAAAAAAGAAAAAACAGTAGAATCACTATAAGGTCTTCCGTCTGAAACGGAAGACCTTAATAAGAAACAGAGTAAAAACAATATGTTCCCCAACTTCGTTTGGGGAACATAATGAATGGCAATGCAACTGATGACTTTAGCGATAATGGTTGTGCCAGTTCACCCTTTACTATTCTTCATAGAATTTGTTTACTCATCTATATAAATGAAGTTAGTTAAAAAGTTGATTCGCAAGAAACACATGTACATGTACGTCTGATTCAATTTTCTTTTAACGAGGTTGGTTCCTGATATTTCAAGTCTTTAACTTTTTTTGTGAAGTGTATATTTAAAAATTTCTACATACATAGCTTGAGGACAGATGATACAAACAAATATTTTCTTTGGAGAAGACTTAATATCATGTGTCATGTTTAGAAAAGTGGATAATTCTTAGAATGTTTTCTTCAAAAAACTGGCAAATGAAATAGACTTGGAGAATTTTAGTAATATTTCAATAAAATTATAAATGTGGATAAAACACACTCAGTAAAGGTTTACGTATGGAAATGAATTTTAGAATATGTTACATTGGAGCTAAAAGTGCAATATAATCTTTAGAAAAGTGTACCAAGCCAGGCAAATTTTATCAGGAAAAGCAAAATAGTAAAAATTAGCTTATATTATATTGATTAATTTTTGTCATTTTGTTTTTCTTCTTAAAAATCACCTGGCTTGGTATATTTTTCTAAGGTTTATATTGCTCTTTTAGCACTAAGATAACATATTCTGAAATTTGTTTTCACTTGTAAACCTTTACTTAGTGCGATTTGTCTATTTTTAGCTCTACTGGTCAGAAACCAGAAGAGCTTATGCGATAGTAATGCGTCCGTCGTCCGTCCGTCTGTCTGTCTGTCCGTCTGTCTGTAAACATTTTTTTTAAATGCTACTTCTTCTACAGTTTTGGTCTGATTTCAATATAACTTGGCACACAAGTAGACTACACTAAGATACATAATTCTATGTATCGGTTTTTGATTTTGATGGAGGGTGTTGCCGTGGTTACTAAAAATAGAAATTTCTGTGAAATTCTTTCAAAATGCTACTCCTCCTACAGTTTTGGTCTGATTTCAATATAACTTGGCACACAAGAAGACTACACTAAGATACATAATTCTGTGTATCGGTTTTTGATTTCGATGAAAGGTGTTGCTGTGGTTATTAAAAATAGAAATGTCTGTTAAATACTCTCAAAAGGCTGCTCCAAATACAGTTTTAGTCTGATTTTAATATATAATGTGGCATGCAAGTAGACTACACTAAGAACATAGGAGACTTATAATCAAGGATCATTATTCAATTTATTGTTGTTGTAAAGTTTCAAATTGCAACTGCTTAAGTACTTTTCTCTTCCTTTGCTATAAGTACAAACCAGTAGAGCTTCAGTCTTGACAGAGACTTCTGGTTTTTTTTTTCATTGAAATATTACTAATATTTTCCAAGTCTATTTCATTTCCCAGTTCTTTGGATAAAAAATTCTAAAAATTATCCATTTTTCTACACTTCTGACAGGTTATTAAGTCTCTTCCAAACAAAAAAATTGTTTGTATCCTCTGTCCTTAATTAAAAATCAAATCAAAAAATAGGAGTCAATGTGTTTCTTTTGCCGCTACAATAATTTAATACTGTTTATAGTTCAACAGGGAGAAATTGATTGCCATAAAATTTAGTTCGGAAGAACGAACAAAGATAGACTTTTGCCTTCACAATGTTTTCTTCAGTTCTTCTTCATGTTGTTTAATTCTTTGCAGGGCGCGGTGATCTACATTTTTTAGTATTTCCTTTAAGGTCTCATAATTATTCAATGAAAGCCTTCCGTCCTTTTCAAGTGTATTGAAATCTTCATCAACAGTGGTTGAGTGATACCTTGGTGCCGAGTATAGGATCCTAAACTGTTGTTTCCACGTTCTGAAAACATGCCCATTATCCACAGACGCATCAAGATAGTTGTTCACCAAGTCAGCAATTAAACTCCTATGAAGTTTCTCTGGCACATGCATCTCTTTGTCATGAAGATTTGTCCCTTCGCCTGGAAGGAAAGAAAAATAAGATAAGTATGTTTAGTTTATTATGTTCCTGAAACAAGGTTTGGAAGCGTTTTTTTTTTTTTTTACTTTTTTTTTATTGTATTTTTTTTTTTTTTTGGACATAAAAAAATAAACCATATATATAAAAGAGTTAATGGTGAGCCGATTTATCTAATTTTCAATGTATGGTGCGTGACATTTACACCCGGGAAAATGTTCAAAAACAACACAGTATCAGTGAAAAGAAATCACTTATTAGGTCACCTGAGTAACTCAGGTGACCTATTGCTATCCGTTTTCGTTCGTCGTCGTGCGTCGTGCGTCGTGTGTCGTGCGTCGTGTGTTAACATTTGAACATTTTCAGCTTCTTCTCTGAAACCACTGAACCAATTTCAACCAAATTTGGTATACAGCATCTATGAAGGGAAAAAACAATTGTGAATTTCATGGTCCCCGCCCCCCTGGGGCCTGAGGAGTGGGGCCAAAACCACTAAAATTATTGCAATATTTAAAAATCTTCTTCTTTACTCCTGGACATCAAGCAGGCAAACTGTTAGCATGAATGTAATAAGCATTGAGTCCTCTGCCAAAATTGTGAAATTCATGGCTACATATATTACATGTACAGTCAAACTTGTTTTAAGAGGCCACCTTTGGGAAGTCTAGAAACTGGCCGCATAAGACAGGTGGCCTCTTATTCCAGTTTGCCATCGAAAAGGACATTTGGTCAATAAATAAACAACATTAAGCACTACAGTTAAATTAATTAATCATAATTAAACAGTTCAATTTCACAAAAGCTTTTTATGTGTATATATAAAAATTCAAGCTCATTTAAGAAGAATATTAAAGAATTCGAAATGTTTAAGGTTTTGTGCATGTTTCTGTTCCTCATATTAGTTTAACATCTTGCATTCATAAGTTTGCTTTTGTTACATTGAATTATTAAATAAATTCTTTTGAAATACATACAGCATGTACAGTGCCAGACTATTAACCTTCTGTATAAAGAAAAAATACACAAAAATACAGATTTATGGTAAATAAAATAAAGCATAGGAATTACGTAAAAATATGTCAATAAAAATTTCACTTCCATATTTTAAAAAGATAGTCAGCAGTGTAACCCCCCCCCCCAACTTTATTACCGGGGTAATCGGTAATTAACTTACTTGCTGAAGTTTATAAAGTCTGATTTATTTTATTGTTTATAAAGCTGTCAGCATTTCTATTTAACATACACAGACACACAAATAAAATTAACCAGTTGACCAGAGAGATGTATTTACGCAGTTGAAAATCATTCCATAACACAGGTGTCAAATGCAGTAGAGCGTGACTAATCCCTATCGATCCTCTCTTGACAGTAAATTCACGAGATAATCATGCCATATGAAGCACTTTGTTTTTACAAAAGTAGTAATTAGGGCTTCAACATAGAATCAAAATCTAAATGGTGTGAATTTCTTTAGCTAGAGAAAGTATCAATTGTAATTAAATTCTTTCAATTTTTCAATCAGCGATCTTGAAAAATAATTACAAATTAATCTAACAGGACAAATATTTTTTTTTCATAAACACAAAACAGAGTTCAGCTTATCTAAAACCAATTTGTTTGATAGCATTAATAGGTTTAATTGACTATCAGGATATAAATACCCAAGCCAACATGTTTAAAAGGTGTGATGAAATCGCGACAAGTAACGAAATGGCCGCTTATTACAGTTTCAATAAGACTGTTGGGGGAGGATTTGAGTGGCCGCTGGCCGCGTTACACAGGTGGCCGTTTATTCCAGTTAAAATATATAGGTAAAATCATCGGGGGGAACTGAAAGTGGCCGCTGACCGCGGGTGGCCGTTGATTTCGGGTGGCCGCTAAGACAAGTTTGACTGTATATAGTGAAAATGCATTACTTCTTTGAAAATCTTCTTCTCTGCTCCTGGGTATTAAATAAACTAACTAGGTACATAGTATTAATGAGCAAGAGTGCCTCTTCCAGATTTGTGAATTTTAAGGCCCCGGGGTCAGGGTGTTCTGGTGTTAGGGCGGTGGTCTATAAATTATATAGTGAAAATGCATTTATTCTTTGAAAATCTTCTCCGCTTCTGGGTATTAAATAAACTAAATACATAGTTATGATGAGCAAGAATGCCTCTTCCAGATTTGTGAATTTATGGCCCCATGGTCAGGGATTCTGGTGTTAGAGCGGGGCTCTATAAATTATATAGTGAAAATGCATTTATTCTTTGAAAAACTTCTTCTCTGCTTCTGGGTATTAAATAAACTAAGTACATAGATATGATGAGCAAGAGTGCCTCTTCCAGATTTTTGAAGAACTGCGAACGATAGTATTGTTCTCCCGCCTACCTCCAAGTCAATTTTCAAAAATTAATATATTCGATGCATTTTTTATGTTTTTTATAGAATATTATATGGATTTTTGTAAAACAATACTTATTTGGGAAAACAAAGAGAGATAAAAATTTTGGTAAAACTTGTGTTTTTCACCATAGAAATCAACGGAAAACGGAAAATATTTTTAAAACATCTTCCCCCCCCCTCCGTGTCACAAAAATTCCTTTTTACAGGTTATATGGACTGTTATTTCACAATTCATACAAAAGCTTTTTGTTTGACATGGGGGTATGTTTTTTTGACAAAAAAACGATAAAAATGCTTATTTTCCATCAATGGCAAAGCGATTTACAAATGAAACATTATATTTTACTGATATATTTATGTTTTATTTATTTGCCTAAAACATAAGAAAAGATATAAGGAAATTTTAATCATATCCAAGACTATTTCAAAATATGTGGTAACTGAAAAGCCGATTTCAATGGAAAATATCGTCTACCCTCTTTTTTCAGGAGCTGGAATTATGGATAATTTACTATTTAGCGCTGGTATTAAGGCAATTCATCAATTATCATTAAACTGTTCTTTGTATTAAACAAAGATTTTATGGCCAAATAGCTATTTATATTGAATTAAATGGTTCCAAAATGTAGGCGGGAATCGAGAGTTAGCGTGCGTATTTCTTTTATGGCCCCAGGGTCAGGGATTCTGGTTTTAAGTCGGGGCTGTATAGATTATATAGTGAAAATGCATCTATTCTTTGAAAATCTTCTTCTCCGCTTCTTGGTAATAAATAAACTAACTTAGTACATAGTTATGATGAGCAAGAGTGCCTCTTCCAGATTAGTGAATTTTATGGCCCAAGGGTCAGGGGTTCTGGTGTTAGGGCAGGGCTCTATATAGATTATATAGTGAAAATGAATTTATTCTTTGAAAATCTTCTTCTCTGTTTCTGGGTATTAAATAAACTAACTAAGTTCATAGTTATGATGAGCAAGAGTGCCTCTTCTAGATTTGTGAATTTTATGGCCCCAGGGTCAAGGGTTCTGGTGTTAAGTCGGGGGCTGTATAGATTATATAGTGAAAATGCATTTATTCTTTGAAAATCTTCTCTGCTTCAGGGTATTAAATAAACTAACAAAGCACATAGTTACGATGAACAAAAGCACCCTATCCGAAATTGTAAAATTTATGGCCCCAGGGTCAGGGGCTCTGGTGTTAGGGCAGGGCTCTATTGAATATATAGTGAAAATGCATTTATTCTTTGAAAATCTTCTACTCTGCTTCTGAGTATTAAATAAACTAATAAAGCATAGAGTTATGAAAAGAAAGAGTGCCTTTTCCAAAATTGTGAATTTTATGCCAATGATCCAAGTATGTATATTTATGATGAAGAAAGTTGCAATTAGCAAAATGTTTTTTATGCCCGAGGGGGGGGGGTGTACATAGTATGAAAATAAATTAATGCTTTGAAACCTGCTCTTTGGTATTAATCAACCATTTTTATGAAAAAATTTGCAAAATTTTGAAATATGTGGCCCAAGGGTCAGTGGTTCTTTTGGGGTGAGGTGCACAACTGGTTATAAAGTGGAAGAACATTTTTCTCCTTGTATCTCTGATTTACCTCTGGGTATTGAGTAAGTAGAGAATTTTTAATTATGATTTGCAATGGTGCCTCTTTCAAAATTGTGAATTTCATGGCCTCTGGTTTAAAATACAAACTAAATTTAATTGTTTGAAAGTTGTTACACAATACTCAGGTGACCTATAAGGCCCGTGGGCCTCTTGTTATTTCAATTAATTATTTAAATCATATTTTATTTAATTATTTAAATAAAGAAAAACATGTAAAAAAAACGCGTTCAGTTAATTTATCTTGCCTTTTAAAATGTTAAGAATACTTGAATTAATTACAAATTGTATAATATATTGTTAATTTCCATCTTTTAGAATTTAGATCTAGGGGCAAATCACTGTAACTGCAGAAACTCTTTAATGTGCAGGATAGAGAGGGTTCTTAAAACTAGTCAGGGTAGCATAGTGATAGGGTGTGTGCTTCGTGAGTGAAAGGTAGGATTCTATTCTCTTTCGCTGCATCAAAACTTGAATGTTAATTTCAAACTAATCATATCTGTAATTCACCATTCAAACAAATTTAGTCTGTTGTAGTTCTATACATAAAAAGTCTATTTTGAGAATTGTATTTTTTTTTATTTTCTTCCAAGCCACATTGCTTGTTAAATGTACCTAGGAAAAGTTAGGTAGTTTGTTGTAAATAAGTAAGGGGTTTTGACAGGAACTAGTTATTTCAGGGCATTGGAGGATACTTCCGGAGGAGCACTCGGGTTATAGATAACACGTGGATTTGAGAGAAACCCTGTTTGCAAATAAAAAAGATCGGAAAATATCCTTTAGGTACCTTGTTTTTTTGGTGTCAGTCATTGTGAAGGGTAACGTTAAATACTCTGCTAAATATTTTTTCATGAATTCAAATACCTGATTTTTAAGGACGTTCGATCATGATATTTTGAGCGTTTTTCGCGCAGGTCCTTTATTCATTAAATTAAGCATCATTTTTAGGTTCTTACAATAAAACTTAATTCTACAATGCAAATTAAACTATATTCAATGAAAAAACCGCGAACTAAATTACATTCAAGTAAAATTAAGGTAGGGCCTATATTTTGTGGCGGAAGGTTTTTTAGACGAAAATGATCAGTTTTTTTCCATTTGAACTATAACAGTACTGTTAATTTTGGATGCCTATTTTTCCATGCTGGTTGCACACACAGCTGTTTTTTGCTGCGATATATGTTATGCTGGTTCTTAAATATCTATTAAATTATTTCTTATGAATTCTATAAACAAAGTGTGACAAATTTAGTAAATATATTCTGTAAATCCGGAACAAAATTGAACCAATTTTAACGTAAAATTCAAACTTTTTTTGTAATATCTGAAAATGTACATCATATACCCCCACTTTTGATGTTCTTTTCTAAATATTCAAGATAACTTTGACTTATTCGCTTAAAATCAGAAAAAGTTTAAGACTTTAAAATAATTTTCTTGCTTATTATATTTTCAATGCTGGAAAAAATACCATTTTATTAGTGCAGAAAGGTCAAATAATTGATTATGCTGAAACTTTCTCTCGGTCACAATTTTTAAGTGTTTTTTTTTTTAAACAGACTTAAGGTTCATTTTGTTTCAAGCTTTAATTGGATAAAAATATTGGAGGGAAAACGTCGAAGATGCAATTTCTAATTAAGACACAAATTTCAGTGCAGAAAGGTCATATTAAATGTAATGTAGCGCTAAAAGAAGCATATTGACCCCCATTTTTTGATTTAAATTCTAATTAAGCTATGTATGTAGAAACTAAAAATATACTTGGCAAAAAAGTTTAAGACTTTAAATATCAGGATAGAACGTCGTTAAAGACTTTTTATTCTATATAGAATTATATAGTGGAAATAATTATCTGTTTGAAACTTACAATAGTGACGGTTTCTTCGTCATTTTTTTTTTTTTTTTTTTTTTTTTTTGAGTTTTTCGAATGAAACCTTCAAAGCCGAGGGCCTGCATCACAACATGCACTGTTACGATGAAAACCTTGCACTGCTAAGTTCCCGTAAATACCTATTTTTGTCTACGTTTAAAGACTGTCATCAACATACGTGTCCAGTTTTGTTGAAAAGGCTTGCTTTTATTTTAACGTTGGGAGATGGTTGTATAAAGAAGTGTTCATTAAGGTCTTCCGTTTCCAACAGAAGACCTTCTACTGATTCTGGTGATTAAGATTAATAGAGGATATTCAATGTTTTGTAGTTGAATATGGAATTTATTTCACGAGTGGGACAGGATTTTTGATATTTTCACGAGTGCGAAGCACGAGTGAAAATATCAAAAAATCCTGTCTCACGAGTGAAATAAATTCCATATTCAACTACAAAACATTGAATTTTCTGTTTATTACATTTTTTTTTTTAAAAATTCTTTGATTTTTCATTTCTCTCTGTATTTTTGTAATACAGTCATGGACTCGTGACGTCATAGTTGAGCGGTTGAGACGTCATAGCTATGTGAGGTGAAAACACTGTAAACATTGATTTAGCAACATATGTTTGGTAATTTTGACAATTTTATTCGTTGTCAGAATGGTTTATTTATTTCCATCTATCTTATATTAGGTCAAGGGAGATTTTCTTTACAACAATCTTCGTTATAGGAAGGGAAATCGAGAGTTTTCCAGCACTTCTGATATTCGTCACACTGTGACAGGATATCATTTTGATATCCTTTCACAGTGTGACAGGATATCATTTTTATTCAATGAATAAATTACAGTATTTCACGGGTAAAAATGTAATAATTCTTATTATTCTTTTTTTTTCTTTCCCTAGACGCCAACTTTGAGGCCTCATATTTCACTCATTTCTCGATGGATTTTGTTCAAATTTTCAGAGTTGATAGACGTTACTAAACTCTATCAGAATGTTATCTAAAATTTCAAAAAGTCACTTCCGGTTTTGAGTTATTACCCTTTAAACGAAAATTTATAGGCTTTCGTTTCCAGACAAAGGCTCAGAGACGGCTAAAGCTGGAGCAAAAATTTTACTCATTTTAGATAATAGAAGGATTAAAGTTGTGCATAGTGGTTTTTGTTTTTCGATTTCTCTATTCAAAATGGTGCTATATAGGGGTCAAAAATTAGAACACTTAAAAGAACGAAAATTTAACACATATTTTGCTTTTTATCTTCTAAACTAAAAATATTTTGTTAAAACATATAGAACAAAATTTATGCAGAATTACAAGATCTTTCGAATGATATCTCAAAAAAAAAGGGCTGACTCCTAAATTAAGGGATCTAGAGGAGCCAAAAGTTTTTTTTTCCAGATATTTCAAAAAGTATTGAGAATTTGTAATACATCCAAGAAGCAATGTTGTTCAAAATGTCAAGCTTAATCTAATCAACATGTGTCCGGCGACGTTACTTCCGGTCAAACCGGAAGTAGTCAGAAAATGCATTTTTTTTGCTGTTCTTGACAAGTTTATGGGTAACATATATCACAAGAAGCACAAAACTTAATTTTCTGTCCATCGACATCACTTCCGGTCAAACTGGAAGTAGCCAAAAATAGCTTATTATTTAAGGTTTTGATGCAAAATTGAAATTATAAAGTGAGTGGAGACGACTAAGATCATTGCTTTCTTTTTGCTGATGTCACTTCCGGTCAAAACAGGACGGAAGACCTTCTCGATGCTTTGCAACGAGCTTTGTTCTAGTTCAATTGATTTTCGTGAATGTTTTGAATCAAAATTTCCAAAAGTTCCATAGAATTTATGCATTAAATATATTTCTAGACGTGTCTTTTCTTGTTCTTTAGAAATAAATGAAAGCTCTGTCATGTGTTTTATTATTCTTTTAGATTAACCCTACTAAAATGGTCGTTTTATAAATAAGTAATAATATAAATTTTAAAGAATTAAAGAAAAAGTGAGCAAGCTCACATACAACCCAAAGTCGAAGTCCTGAAATTCCCGAAAAAAAGGAATTTACTGGTAATATGCACATCAACACATTGTGTCCTAATAGGTGCAAAGTTTGACGAAATTGTGTGCAGTGGTTTATGAATGAGGAGTTGCGCTGACAAACTTGTCATCTCTACTGCATAGTTTATTCAAGATATGGTAAAAAATCTAAGTGTAAAAGTGCGGAAATTCCCAACAAAATTATGATAAAAAAAACAAAACTGACGGACTGAATGACACACTGATTGAGTGACTGACTGACGAGTCAAAAAAATTATACCTCATGCACATTCTTGCGTGGGGTATAATAAACATAAACTACAATTAAGCATATAATTTTTTTTTATAGTTTTTGTTACAAAACACCCTCCCAACCTCCTGTCAGAATCCAAGGTCCCGTCAAAGTCCAGTGTATTGAGTCAAGTACCGGATAAAACTCTGCAATTCATTGGAGGACGATAAGAAATTTAAAAAAATGGAGATTGCTGAAGATGACTAAATGACAAAACTTACCACTAGGTTGAAAAGGGCTGATATGGGTAAGTTCTAGCACTACTTTATTTTGCACCTAAACGAAATCCTAAGTGTTATTTTTTTTACACTATTTGACTGAACAAAATTTATATTGTACCCGCTAAAGAGTTAATGGGAGGTCCTAGCATGCCTTCAAATTCAGTAACCTTAGTAGCGTGAGTCTTTCTACAATGCTCCAAATATTTAGGTGAGCTTTAGCAAACTTTTTAATTAATGATATTTAGCCTCGCATCCATCCAAAATATTTGTCGCGTAAAATGATACATCAAATGAAAAATGAAAAATGCTTACCATATTTCCAAAAGCGAAGCAGATCATTTTTGTTGATTACATGATGATTTTTGAACCCATGATTGGGACAATTGAATTCGCCTCCACCAACCAAATCTTTTTCCAGAATAAAGCTAGTGGCATTTTCCTCAAGTATGTATTGCTTTGAACATTGATAGCCGATGTCATACAAAGTTTCCTTGTGAAAGATTTTAGTCAAGTTTTCCAGGACATCTTCTATCGTTTGCTTAATATTCATTGTAATCTCTCTATTAAGCTGCCCATTTCCTTGTTTATATATTTGGACCTGTATTGTTGATGTAGTAACAGCTACACCTATCATGTGTTCTTTAAACGTAAATAAAGCAATATCTTTAAACAAACACTTCTGTCCATTATCTACGATAACAGTCCACTCTGTGCTGACTATACAGGCTACCATGAGACGGAAATAAAAGAAATAGGGCAGGAACCGGAAATTGAAAACCAAAACAGAGGTTTTTTGTTCCAAATCTGTGATATAATCTTTCAGATCTTTATCAAAGTCTAATTTGTTCATGCAAGGGACATAGTGCGCCTTTTTACCCTTAGCAAGCAACCCCAGTCGTTGCATATACTTCAAGGTAGTGTTGCATTTTCTTGGTACAATGTTTTTTTTCTTCCAAATCCCTTTTAATAGCTCTCTAGATAAATAGCCACTTCCAAAAAAGTTTTTCCAATCTTTGTCATTCTCAACAAGATCCCTGGCATGTTTTGGATCTGTTATTATATACTTAAAACAATCTACAAACCACTGCACATCTGTTATTGTGCTATGTTTCAAGTGATCTTCGTTGTAATACAGAATTACCCCAATGTCATGATAAAACTGGAGCACATCAAATGTCTCCTTCTCTTTTCCAGTTTTATTTATTGAAACTTGTTTTCTAAAGTCTGTAAGTGAAATGCATTTTTTCCCACTTTGTTTGTTCTGTCTTAAAACTACTTCACAATATGCCCAATCCTTCGGTATGTTCTCTCTCCAACGATCTTCCAAAGAGATAGAAGCGATACATTCTACTAAATAGGTTAATTTATCCATAGGTTCGTTATCATTCATAGGAAACCCAATGTGGAAGCAGCGTTCTCGGTCAAGATGTTTCTTCAGAACAGGCTCATTCTTCAAAAGCTCCAGCAAATCATCATAAATTGATCTGTCATCCTAGTATAAAGATAAATGTCCACTTAGTTTACCATGCCCTTAACAATCTATACAATTACATTGTACGTACATGTCAACAGACTATGAATACATTAATTACTTTTAATGGAGAAAAAAAAAACACACCAAAATGTGTATGTGCTAGTTAAACGAAAGAATTGGTTTTGGTGCATTTTATTTAAAAACATTTTATCATCGACACGTACCATATTTTTCACTTCGTCAGAATGGGTTGCTATTGTTACAACTGGAGTGTCATCTTCGCAGTAGGTATGGATAGATTTCAACCAAAAAATGACATATTCTGAATTTATAAATTAATAAAGTAATAAATTAATGAAAGATAAATATATATTGAAATTTACTTTTAACTTCTCAAAAATAAATGTTTTTTTTTTTTATTTTAGCTTGAAGGTTGTTATAAGCCCTTCTCGAGGATTTTTCACTTATATGGAGACCCCAACACTCGCCAGTAAAGATCTGCAAATCTTGTTCTATTCTTTACATTTACAGCCATTGAGCAGTTTTTGTGCCAGCACCTCCTGCGACACGGGGCTAGATTTATACGGTCTCATCCATAGGACCGGTCTACGTGTCCTACAGTGGGATTCAAACCAGTGATGTAAGGATGATCTTGCGATTCTAGAACAGATGTTTTAACCACTGCGATCATAAGGATAAGCAGTATATCAGTCATATATATTTGAATGCCCTAGCCTATATGTGAAAAAAAAAATCTGTCCACATAAAATTCCTTTTTTGTGGCAATCGTCTTTCAATTGTAATGAAAATGTATTTTTTCCGTAAAACGGCATATATGTGAAAAGAATTCTTATGTGAATGTTTAATTTTATCATTTCTGTTTAAAACACAATTTGCATATAAATTCTTTCTCACTGATTGAAAAAGGCTGTTAAACAGCTTATCCTCGTGAATGAACATTATTTAAAATAATCCGTTAAGTTAATTGTTAACAAATATTGCTTGTTAGACTATGGTTTGTACTATAAAAACGCAATACAGGAATTAAGAGACATGTAGAGATTTATTTTGACTTAAATACATTTAAAATACTGACAAAGGTTTGTTTGCTGATATCAAACTTGTTTGATAATGAGCGACATTTGATGGCATGCAATAAAAGAATGAATGCAATACGAACTTATTTTGTTGTATGATGAATTTTGTGGAGATTTATTCTCAGTCTTTTACATTTGATAAAAAAACGATTGTCTAATCATGATTGGATGTGTTTGTGTCCGGTCTTTTCCTAAAAAAAATATTTAATATCAATTCTCTATAAAAATCAAAATTTTAAATAGGGTCGTGGACATGACATATCTCCGATTTAGCTGAAATTCACACCATTTACTACAATTGGTATGTCTTTAATAAATATGATGTTAAAGTCTAACTTTTCATTTTGGTTGCCATGGTAACAGGGATGTTATATTTAGAACCCTCTGATTAAGCAAATTTTGCTCTGTTTTAAATTAAATTTGTGCACATTCAATTAATTAGTAAAAATTCACATGAAAATTATATTATGTTAGCTCATATTACTTAAATCTAAGAAATTAATTTCATTCAAAGATATTTGAATGAAGATTAAGCGAATTTTCATTGCAGCATTAAGGCTGTTAGCATATTGGCAATTTGCCAATATTTGTATCATTAAATCTTTTTTAGTAAATCAAAAAAAAATTAGTAAATCAAAAACTTTCTAAATTATTGCATGAAAATTGGCAATTTGCCAAAAATTTATTCACCATTTTGACAACTGATATATTTGTAACCATGATAAATCAAAAACTTTCTAGAAATTATTATCATTAAATAAACTATATATTCTATATAGAAGGTTTTATGAGAATAAAAAAAATTAATGGGTAAATCAAAAACTTTCTAGAAATTATTGCATGAAAATTGGCAATTTGCCAAAATTGACTTTTTTAGTCATATTCAATGAAATTTTTCACCATTTTGACAACTGATATATTTGTAACCATGTATCATTAAATAAACTATATATTCTAAGGTTTTATGAGAATAAAAAAAATTAATGGATAAA